TATCTGAAGCACGTAGAAACGCGCTGCCATCGAGCTCCCGAGGAGGTGAGGCTGGTGGAGCCTGAAGCGGCCCGGCCTCGACTCCCCACGTGTCCGGGAAGAGCCCCTGCGGGTTCCAGCCAGTCCCTCGATGGAATGTTCCTGCCACAGAGATTTCTCACGGAAGCTGGATGTTTTTAAAGCCTCCGCTGTCGTAGGCCTGGTTGTTAAGTGGTTGTTAAATGACGTCACAAACGCGGTCGTCGCAGCGGCCTGGCTTCCGCAAAGACGCCCCGACGCCCCGGCTGCCTGCAGCGCCCGTCTTGGGCGGCGCGCACGTGCGGTCCGCGCGCTCCCGGGCAGGACCGCAAGGGTCTGCGGGCCGGCGCCGCCCTGCCGTCTCTCAGCGCCCCCGACTCTGCGGCGCAGCCCCGGGGGCCCCTAAATCGCTCCATCCCCTGGAGCTGTACGCCGGACAAGGCCACCCCAGAGCTCCTGCCCTCCTGCGCCCTGCACACCCATTTCGGGCTCCAAGTCTTTTCGTTTTCTCAACTCAGATTTGGATCCTGCTCGGAGAGGATCTACCTGAAAGACCAGGGATTTCGATTTCCCACCGCAGAGACGAATTCGTGACTTCTTTACCCTCATGTGGCTACATTTCCCCTTTGGTTGGCGGGGATGAGGAAAGGGATGTTGCTGCTTGAAGAAAGTTCTTTTTCTTTTTTTAATCCCAATTAGGGCAAAAGTTCCAACCCTCTGCCAATTTTAACTTGAAGAGCATCTCTTCTGCTGAGAAGGAAGGTCAGAGGAACCCGAAGAGTCGAGATCCGCCCCGCCCTGCCTCCGGGGCTTTTTGAGAGGACCTGCGGTGACGCAGTGATGCCTAATTATCCCCGAAGGCCTCAGCCCCCCAGTTCAGTGTCCCGCACTGGAGGCACCACGGCCCCTGCAGGCGGGCGGCGAGAAGGGGCCTGGTGTGCGGAAACAGCCCCACGCCCAGCTTTCCGTCGCCCCCTCCGCTCCCCCTTCCCCGTAGTGCGTCTGAGGGCTGGAGCGCGGGAGAGGAGGCTGAAGGGGGCTAGGGAAGGCGCGAGCGAGGGGCACAGAGAACTTGACCGGCCATCTGCCGCCCTTCCCAGCCCAGCTCAGGGGCGGATGTGAGGAGGGCGAGGGAGACCCCGGGTGTGTGCCCGGCCTGCGGGAGCCTGAAAAGCTGGTGAGAGAACCAGCCCGCGAATGGAGAACCCAGAATAGATTTTTAAACCCATGAGAATTTAATTTATATGTGATAAAGGTAGCAGTTTGATTCAATGTGGGAACGTTAGTTCATTTAATAAATAGTGCTGGTATAGTATTTGACCATCGATCTAGAAGATATTCAGTCCCCTGATGCTGAGCATATACAAAAATAGGCTCCTGATTTATTGTAGACTGAAAAACAACCAACCAACCAAACCACTAAAGAAATATGAGGGGGGAGTTTTTCTAGGCTTTTAAAAAAATATTTTTTAAGGGGCCGGCCCTGTGGCTTTAGCGGTTGAGTGCACGCGCTCCGCTACTGGCTGCCGGGTTCGGATCCCGGCACGCACAGACGCACCACTTGGCAGGCCATGCTGAGGCGGCAGGAAGGATGTGCAACTATGACATGCAACTATCTACTGCGGCTTTGGGAGAAAAATGGAAAAAAAGGAGGAGGATTGGCAATGGATGCTTAGGGCCAGTCTTCCTCAGCAAAAAGAGGAGGATTGGCATGGATGTTAGCTCAGGACTGTTCTTCCTCACAAAAAAAAAAATTTTTTTTTCAAACGGGACAACATCCTAAGCTACCCTTTGATAAACTAATCAGGCAGTATCTCTTACGGTTGTAAATGCGCATAACCCTGCACGGAGCAGGCCCCCTCAGGACGGCTATCCAACAAAAGTAAAAGCACCTGGAAAAGAGAAAGTGCAGGGAGGATGTGAGTCAATGGAAAACTACGCATTGTTGAGGGCCCTCCTGTCCGGGTCATTGGATTTTGATTCTCTGGGGGCTCTGAGGCTTTCTTTGCCTTTGAGCTATGTTACAACTCTGTAAACTGTAGATAACTGATAGCAAAGCAAAATAATTCTTGTCTGTAGACATGTAAATAAATCCTGCCCCTCCTGGAGGTTCAATTGACTTCTCTCCTCAACTGTGAAAGAAGCCAGTTTTCCTCTGTTGACACATTTGCTTCACTATTGCTCAGCTATAAACGTGTCTGTTCTTTGGATTGCCCTCGGAACTGGTTTTGATATCTTTTTTTATTACCTCATTAGTAATGAGTTAAATCTTTAGTACATGTTTATTTTACATCTCTACATCTCTATGATAGAGTCCTGGTTTTATCCCTTTTTTTTTTTTTTTGAGAATTATTCTATAACAAAACAACTATAGTGGCATTTGTGGTGGTAAAACAAAACAAAATACCAAACCCACTCTGTCTCTTGAATAATAGGGAAATGGTTGAGGGGCGCGGGGAACTGCCACTTAATGGCATTAAAAACAGTAAAATCTATATGACCCACCTGAAAGATGTTCATAGGTTGCTAATTCTAAAGAAGACATTAAGAAGTATATATACTCCTTAAGTACATAATATATATATAGTAGGATCCCATTTTATTTTAAAAAAGGAAAAAACATTAGTGTGTGTATATTTGTATACTTTTCTATGAGCATAAATAAGTTGTGGACAGATACAGGCTATTACTGTTGTTTATCATGATTTCGAGGAGGGGGGTTGATGGACAAGATCACTAACTTAAACAATTATTATGAAATATTTCAGGCATTCAAAAAAGTCTTAGGACCAACTAATAGAACAAACACAAGATGTCCCTGAGAAGAGTTGAACACCCGTGTGTACACTGTCACTGTGCCCTGGATCACACTATGCTATCTCCCTCCCGGAACTGCTGCTTATCATTCCTGTGCAACTTGACTTCATATATGTGCATTCTAACGTATAATATGCAAAAGTATATACAAAAGTATATATATTTGAATGTTTATCATCTAAAAATTATTTTGCATATTTTAAAACTTTATATAAATGGTATGATATATTGAAGGTATTTTTCTGAAAAAATTTTTTTGCTCTACATGAGGTTTTTGTGATTAATCCAGGTTAATATATATATATGTATATAACATATATTGATATTCATACATAATATATATAGTATATATGTATATAATATATATTTATATGCACACATAATATTTGTATATTATGTAAGTTTGTATATATAAAATCTTTTTCTTTTGAGTTGACTTGTTATAAAGAACATATATTACCTTTGTAATTTATAAAACTCTTAAGATTTATTTTTTAAAAAATGGACTTTCTTGACGGACATAAGAGAAGTCTGGAAAAAATGACTGGATATACCTTGTGTTTGGATGAGCAAATTTAGCATTTTAAAGGTAACGATAATCCTTAATTTTTGTGTGTGTGGGGAAGATTAGCCCTGAGCTAATATCCGATGCCAGTTATCCTTTTGCTGAGGACGATTGGCCCTGGGCTAGCATCCGCACCCGTCTTCCTCTACTTTATATGGGACGCTGCCACAGCATGGCTGGACAAGTGGTGCGTCAGTGCGGCCCAGGATCCGAACCTGCGAACCCTGGGCCACCGTAGCAGAGCACTCAAACTTAACGCTACACTACCGGGCCGGCCCTAATAAGCCTGAAATTTTTGATAATTAAAACACTGATACTGGTACCAGAATAGAGAAGCTAATTGAAGGAAAAGAATTAGGAGTCTACAACTGTCCTGTGTATATATGAGAATTTGGTATATGAAAAAATATAATTTTACAAATCAATGGGGCAGTGTGAGACTATTAAATAAATTATATTGGAAAAACTAGCTGATTGAGGGGAAATTTCGTGCCTATTTTACTGCTCATACTAAAATAAATTTAGATGATTCAAGGTATGACATTTTGATCCAACTAATGAAGAACACATGGGTGAAACCAGTAAAAACAAAGGGAGATTTCTCACCTGGGGTTCCTCATCCCAACTATAGAAAATGAATTGAGTGACTACTTTCTCAATTCCACCAATTCTATGTAACTGGTACCATTCTAGATGCTTAAAATAGAAGTTAATTCATTGCATACAATAGGTACCTACAGCGTTAGGGCTTAATTCTCTCAGGAAGCCCTTGTTGAGATAGGCTAAAAAACAAATAAATGGTGAAAAATAGTTGCAACATATGGAACAGGTATTCATATCCCTAATACCAGACAGCTCTCAAGCACTAATAAAAGATGACTGTATCAATACACAAATACACGAATAACTCAGAGAAGCAATGCAGAAAAGAAAAAATGTAAATTGCCAATAAACATGAAACTATTTTAACTCTCACTAGCAATCGATTAAATGAAAACTTAAAAATAAGCAACAAGGAGACATCACTCTTAGATAACAAATTGTGAATGGTAAAAGTCAACAAGGATGTGCTGAAGCTGACATTTAGGTACTTTTGGGGGCATGCATACTGGTGTGATCTTCCTGGAAGGCAGTTGCCCAAGGAGATAATTAGAAGGGAGTGCAAATATGTAACAGAGCTTTCAATTCCAGACTTTTTAATAATATATATTAAAAAACTGCAAACAACGTGAGTATCCATCACTAGAGGCTTGTTTACTCAGAATTCTGCTATGGACCTGCCAATAAGTGAGGTAGGCCTATATATAAATAAGTAAATTATGAGTAAAATAAGTACATTATAAGCAATATGATATAAAAATGGTGCCACCAACTAGGCTGCATCATGTTTCTGTTGGCAGGGCTTAGACCAACGCACTTCACAGCAGGTTCTTTTCTGGAAATTACCTCTTATGAGCCTCAAGACTCATGGTTTGCTCTTAGAAAAGTTTGCCCTAAATCAAATTGTTTCTTTTTTATCAGAAGCCACATATGTTAAAACATACAGTCAACTTAAAAGTTAGGTTGAAGGTAATGTTGAAGACTCTTACAGGTCAAGCTAATCAGATCTTATTTATTTATTTTTTATAAGACATTGGAGAGCCATTCTTTGATGATCAGATTTGCAAGGTCTGTTGGAAGTAGGAAAGACTAGAGCTAAGGGATCTAATGAGGAGGATTAGTTAGAAAATATGGGACCAGAAAAAGCAAGTGTCTGCTGGAATGGAAAGGAGAGGAATAATTCAAGTGCGATTTCTAGGACAGAATGAACAAAAGTTAATGATGGATTTGGGTGGTGGGGTGGGCGATAGGGAAAGGATGTACAGGGAGACTTTAAATCTAATGAAGAAAACATGGATGAAATCAGGAGCTTTATGGAAATTAGCTAGAAACAGCTGGGATGGAGATCTTCAACTGTGATCTCAATGAACGAAGCCCTGCAAGCTCCATCTCCTTCAACCATTTCCACTCAGCAGGGGCAACAACTGTTTCCATTACTACCACCCTTCCACCAGTCGCCTCCATGGAGGCTTTTTACATACATATTCCAGTAGTTCACCTTCCCAAATTCTCTCCATTAATCACCCCAGTGAGCCTTCATCATGATCTCCCATTCTTAAATTCCCAATCTCTGAGCTGCCTCTCACCATATTTCTACTTCACCCTTAAAAGGAAAGGAAGCCACCCAGTTTTCTGTGTTTCATGAGGGCTATAGGCTAAGGAATTACCTTATCAGCATTTGTTTGACCTTAGTTCCAGGACTTTGGTGGCTCAAGGCTGAGGGAAAGCATGGGTGGGGGTGGGGGGCAGGGCAGATGACCAGCGGGGTTTGGGTGCAAGGAGGGGCACCAGTCTTCAGACTGGTGGGGTCGAGCAAAGGAACCCCCTGCGGAGGGCTGAGCGGGAAGGGCATGGTTGTAGGGGTGAGGGAAGCAGGTCACTGGTGGAGGTGGTGTTGGGTAGGAGTAGGGACAAGCAGGGGACTCCGGCAAGAAACCAGAGAAGGTGGCAGGGGACAGATGGGCCAGTGGCTGGAGCAGTGACCGCTCTTGCTTCCGCTGCTTAGCTCTGCGGTTCTGGAACCAGACCTGAGGAGGGGGGAGAATAGCCACATCAGAGCCCCTGTCTCAAATAGGTAGCATTGTCACATGCAGTCCCCTCCCCCAGTGACAGAATGTACAGGTATAGGGCATAGGCCTCTCCCACATCGCCAGAGGAAACAAAGCAATTCCAGAGCCGTGGCTGAGCTGGACCTACTGACAAAGGGAGAAACACAACATTAACCCCAACCTGCCCCTAAATTTTCCCTACTACAACTTCAGGTGAGTAAGAAATGTCAACTTCCAACAGAAAGAGATAAATATGACATGTGGCATTTTCCCTCCCGAGAGAATGGGAAATTTCCGGTAGGGTTATTAGAGATTAAGACTATGGAGGAGTTTAACTGTTATAGACAGGGTTGGATTTATGATAGGGTTTGTGCTTAAGATTAATTAACTCTAGGGTTAGGATTGAAGGAGCATTGGGCTGGTTTGGTTTCAAGACCATGGTTAGGGACAAGGTTACTTATGTACATGAACAGTTAGAATTGAATTTCTGTTGGAAGTCACATCACTGTTAATGTTGGGGTAGGTGTTGAAGTTCAGGTTAGATTAGGTTAGCGCTAAGGTTAAACTCCAGTGACATTCCTAATGCAGATGAGGTTATGTTTACTGGTGGACTGGTGGACCAGGCTGTATTCAGGTGAGCATTTAGGTTAAGGTCAGAGCGCCCAGGAGAATTTATGCTCCAGGAGTTCCCGAGCACTGAATCTGCATTTCTCCCCAGAGGAAGAGGGGATCCTGGGGCATCACCTGGATTCTGGCCTCGCTGAGGCCTGTGTCCCGGGCAAGGCCCTCTCGGGCCCAAATGTCAGGGTACTGGTTCCTTCCAAAGGCTGACTCCAGCTGTTCCAGCTGCGCTGGGCTGAAGGTGGTGCGGTGGCGGCGCCGGGAGTGCGAGCGACCCCTCTGTCCTCCTTGCGGGGAAAGCCTTGGTCTCCCCATCCCTATACCAGAGAGGTTCCTGTAGGGCCGAGTGCTCATGTCTGAGGAGGGGTGAGGAGGGAGAGGAGGGGAGAGGTTGCTGCTGAGTGGACCCGCGCATCCACCCCTGGACCACATATGCTGGTCCGCCAGATTCTACTTAGTGCCCCCTGTGCTGCTCACACGCTCTGCCTGACCAGAAATCCTTCAGCCTTCACAACTAGCTTCAGCCCTGCCGCACCTGAGTCCCCCGACCCAGGCTATGCCCTCCACATAAGGTACGCCCCTCAGACTCACTTCACATCCTGGGCCCTCAGCTCTGTCTGCCTCACTTCTCCACTGTATGCCCCCTCCCGTTACACTTCCCAGACACATCCCCAGGTAACGTGCCCCTTACCTCCCTGAGCACACATACCACCCTCCTGGCTCTCACCCTGTGGATCTCCTGTTTGCTCTACACCCTAACAAACTGTCCAGGTCTCTAAGACCCCCATTACTTGTTCCCTGCTCTCATGGCTCACATTCAACTTACATCTCCTTTATACAGTTCCCATCCTCCTACACCCTTCACCTGGGAAGATGAAACAGTTCCCCCTCTTCTGCACAGATACACCCTCCCCTCACATACATTTCGTCTTCTCCCCTATCCAGGCCCTGGCCTGGCCACCAGGCTGCAGGAACCTGAGCTCGTGGGAAAGGCTTGCCTCTTCTCCCCACAGACTCACTAAGCCTCACACTAATTAGTCTGAGAGCCAGCCGGGGAAGAGAACAGGGAGGGAAAGGAAACACCTGGAAGGCACATAATGAGAAAAGGGGATGTCTGGAGCTGAGGCACCCATCCCCATGGGGACCCAGGGGTGTGGTCCCCACCAGTGCTCACTGTCCACCTTAGGGACACACGTGTGCTGAGCAGCGGGTCTCCTGCTCTCCTCAGATCCAAAGCCCTGGCCCTCCAGCTCCCTCCCGCAGAGAAGGCAGTGCAGTGGGTGAACTCCCAGGTCAGGAGTGAAGACGGATTTTAGCCTTGCCTCTGCCTCAGCAGGTGTGTGCCCTTCCACAGTCTGTCAATGCCGGGGCCACAGGTCCTGCCTGTACAGCAAAGACAGTGTAACCGCCCCAACTTTCTAAGCTTCCCATGGTTTAACATTCTAGGATTCTGGTTTTCACTTCTTCTCTTCACTTTCCTCATGGAACCATTGCCCCGCAGGAGCCTGGGCACGGAGACTCCTCAGGCCCACCCCAGAGGTTCACTCACCCACCATGGAGGTCACAGTCCCAGCGGCTGTGTAGCTCTCAGGCCAGAGGCTGCTGCAAACTCGCCCCCTCCTTTGCCTACCCTGCCCACTCCTCCCTTCTGCTTCCATGGCTAACAACAAAGACCAAAGACAGTCCAGCCTCCTGAGTCCCCGAGTCTCTGGTTCTCTCTTTCTGTTGTTCCCCTCTCTGCCTGTTGTCTCACTCCTTCTCCCTCTGTTCACACCTCTCCGAGAGTCTCTGCGTAGATGGAGACAGAGATAGAGATCTCTGTCTTGCACTGTCATTCCTTCTTCTTAATTCTCATTCCTTCGCCTTAGTGTCATCTCATTCCCTCTGTCTTGTCCTCATACTCTTTCTGTGTTTGTCTCTACTTTTCTCCTCCTGCCCCTTCTCCCAGGGATGCGTTCTCTCCCTTTGCCCTCAGCTGCGTACTTGCCCAGCTTGCAATCTCACACCACCTCTTTCTCCCTGAGCCTGGGCGGAGTGACCTCCTCCTCACCCCTGCGGGCCCATCCAATCATTGCTCACCAGAGCCCCTTCATCAGGGGAGGATCACCAGCCGGATGAGGGAAGGTGCTCTGTTGGAGGGTCCAGGGACTGGGGCCAAGAGCTCGTATTCCCAGAGGACCAAATTCTTTTGTCCTGTTAAATCCCCTCCTGGGAGCAGGCACAGGAAGGAGGAGAAACTGCATTCCTCCTAAGACCCCTCCTCAGAACCCCACTGTTGGGGGAGGGAGAGAGGAGGTGCAAATGGTGGCCTGCAGCAAGGCCTGCCTGGCATCTCAGCATGCGGGTGATACCCAAGGACCTGTTTCCAGGAAACTAAGAAACTCAAAGGCACAAGTGCATTCTGGCCCCTCCTGATACCCTGATTCTCAGAATACACTAGACACCCCCAGGACAACCTGAACCGTAGGATGTCTCCAGGACACCGTAGTTCTCAAGTACTCTCTGCTTTCCTCCCCCAACGTCACCTCCTCATTCAGCCGGAACCCCTAGGACTCCATGACCTTCCAAGGTCACCTAGATCTTTAGAAAACCCTGACCTTCAAGAGCATTTGAATTCCAGGTGCATCCTCACCCCTCTGGACCTCAAGACTCTGCAGGAGACTGAGATTCCCATGACATTCTGACTTTCTGATTTTTCAAGTAAACTCTGACACACCCAGAATCCCTGAGCAGTCAGGACACCCTGATGCCCACAGTACTCTCCTTCTTGAGGTTACTTAGATCCAGGAAGTACATTCTGAAATCCCTAGAACATCCTGACCCTTTAAAGACAACCTGGAACCCCAGGACTCCGGGATCCGCTAGGACCCACTGATACCCAGAACACTCCATCTCTACTGGGAGATCTCCCCGGCCCTGACCATGAAGTTCTGACCTCTCAGGACATACTGACCCAATTAGGACACCCTAACACCCTTGGAACACACAGTACCCATAGGACAGTCTGATCCCATAGGTCACACTAACCCTTCACACACTTCCTTTAAAAGCATCCTGATAATTCAAGACAGAAAAACATCATAATCCCCTAGGATCTTGATGCTTACAATACAGTCCATGGATCAGCAGCATCAGTGGCACATGAGAGCTTGTTAGAAATGCAGAATATTGGGCCCCACCTCAGTCCTACTGAATCAGAGTCTGCATTGTAACAAGATCCCCAGGAGAACTGAATATGCATTTGTCTTTGTCAGCTCGAGCTGCCATAACAAAATACCAAAGGCTGGGTGGCTTAAACAATAGACATTTATTTCTCACAGTTCTGGAGGCTGGGAAGCCCAAGATCAAGGTTCCAGCTGATTCAGTTCCTGGTGAGAGCTCTTTTCCTGGGTTGCAGACAGCCGTCTTCTGTGTCTTCACAGGGTAGAGAGAACCAGCTCTGGTCTCTGCTCCTCTTCCTATAAAGACACTAATCCCATCATGCTCCTCCTCCCCATGATCTCATCTAACCCTAATCACCTCCCAAAGGCCGCACCTCCAAATACCATCACATTGGGGTTAGGGCTTCAACATATGAATAGGAAGAGACACAAACATTCAGTCCATAACAACATTCAAGTCGAGAAGCACTGATCCAAGACGCCAACCCCTCTCTCCCTACCCCAGGATATACTGTGACCTTCTAGAGCAGCCTGAGCCCCATGACAGCCTGACCGCCCGAGACCCAGTGACATGTAGTCGACATGGATCCACACGCAAACACTGAATTCCAATACACCCTGCTGCCTCAAGATACCCTAACCCTGCAAGGGGACTCTGACCAGACATCTGGGACAACCTGATTTGCCCCCAGACACTCTGATATTACAAAGAAACTCTGACCCACTACTCCTGCTCCATGAGGACATTGAGACACTACAAGTTTGACTTGACATCCCAGAATACATAATCCTTCAGGAGGCTGGGAGGTTTAGAGACATTTCATCTTCTAGGGCATCCTGATTCCCACCCCCAACCCTGAAGTTCAAGGAGCCTTGACACTCTCTGAGGAAGCCTAACACCCAGGATCCTCTCACTTTATAAGAAGCAGAATGGTGTGGTGGGGAAGAGTATAGGTTCTGGGGCCGGGCTGCCACGGGTTCAAATCCCAGCTGTATCACTTACTAGCCACGTGAGCCTGGGCTCATTACCTAATATCTCTGTGCTGCAGTCTTATCATCTGGGGTTAATAATACAGTTGCTTCTCTTTCTTTGAGATAATGTTCCATAAAGTCACTATAAACACTGAATTAGTGAATACTGAACCATTGCTGCTAGGGGAAATAGGTTGCTGTGAGTCTCTGGCCACAACGTTTTTGTGGCCTTATTTAATATACACTGTTGATTCATTAACATTGAACTCACAGCCAACAGCACTATAACTCGTGCCTGGACAAAGCTTATCTAATATGCACATTTTCTCTGTAAGGCCTTCCTGCACTTAGGAACACCACACAGAACTCCAGCACTATGCCTAGGGGTCATTTTAAACAGCAAAATTACCCCCAAAAGCACAAAAATGTGAAAGATGGTGGCACTAAATAGACACCTGTTTACAGTATGAGCGCTAAAACAAGAGGGCAGAGCAGTTGCCTTGTTTGACCTCAGCTGGGAACGTGGCAATTCAAATTTTTCACCCCCCTGCACATGTGTGTGGTTGCAACCAACCACGGAGGTGCCAAAGAGCATTGCAAAAGAATATAGATTTGGGGGTTACAAATAAATTTTAGTGGTAGGTGAATTTGCAAATACGGAATTTACAAATACCGAGGATCAACTGTACTTACCTGATGAAGTTGAAATGACTGAGAGTTAATAAAAGAGAAGCATTTAGGACTGTGCCTTGAACACAGTAAGCACACAAGAAAATGTTACTTTGTTATCATTATTATTATTACCACAGTCCCTAGGAGACCCTAGCCCTCAGAGTCACTTTGACTCTGAATCCCTAGTGCACAAGGGATGCGTTCACTTTCTAGGACACATGGAACCTCCAAGAAGTTTTGACTTCAGCACCTTATAGTCAGCATGATAGCCTGAACTCACAATGACTCCACGACCCTCTAGGACACCCCGACCCACAAGGACATGGTGAGATTTGGGAAACTCTGGCCCTATAAGGAGCTCCCTGGCCTGACAGGATCCGGACGCTCAAGGGCATCCTGTCTTCCAGCCCATTCAGAGCCCCTAGTTAGCTCTAATCTTGCAAAGGGCGCACTGACACTGAAAAACCATTCAACCCCCAAACCCTAACCCAGGCAGTACCATGATCACATAGGCCTGACCCATAGGGCATGTGGACCAAGTAAAGACATATCCTGATCTCCCAAGGCACCCTGACCCTTCAATGGATGCTGGAACATCAGGACATCTGATCCCAGGACACTCTAACCTTCTAGTGCTCTCTGACTCTCTCAGCCCTGGACTTCTCAGCAGGCACCCTAATCACTGCCAGTCTTCCCCTTCTCCCAACACACAGACAGCCCAGAATGGCTTTGACCCACCAGGAATTCCTGAATCCATAAAGTGATTATTCTAACTCTCAAGAAATCCTGGCGTCTCAAGGAAACCATTCCTTACAAGACACTCTTACTCCACAACATCCTCTGAACTGACAAAACATCTTGACTTCCTGGATGCTCTCACCCCTGCCTATCACCCTGTGCTCCTCCAGGACCCTCTGATTCCTGAGAATACTCTGTACAAGGACACCTTGACACTCTCCTCCATGACAGGTCCATTCAAGTCTATCCAAACCCTCAAGAACCCTAGATCTCCAGAAAACTTTGATCTCCCTAGAATACCTGATTTTCACACATTCAGATACCAACAGGTGTGCTGACCTACCTGAAAACCCTGGCAGCTCTGGACTCCCACAACTCCCAGGAGTCTCTAAATCACCCAGTTAGTCCAACCACCAGGACACTCTGACTCTATGAAAACAGTCTGGTATTCCAGGACACTCTGACTTCAGTCAGTGATGTTATAAGGACACTTCAAGAATGTTCTGACATGATAAAAATGTCTTGAGGCCCAGAATATCCTGCCGCCTGTGACATTCTGTCTCTCTAATACCCCTGCCTTCCCAAGACTCTCCAAGTGTGCCAAACTCTGTGACTCTCACCTTCCAGGTTCATCTGATCCTATCTGGCCTCTTTGGATCCTCTAAACAGCCCCTGGTCCAGCAGAGTACTCTGACCATTTAGGGTGTCTTAATCCTACAAGACACTTGGAACCTACACAGGCCTGCTTACCATCCTGAGACAAGGTGAACCCACAGGACACTACTCTGACCATACAAGGACCCCCTAAGACCTCAGAGAATCAGGTCCCAATAAGGACACATCAATTCCCCTGGATAACATAAACACTAGTTTACTCTGAGCATATGAACAACCTGCCTTCTAGGTTGTTCAACCCTAGAGGGACATCTTAATATCCCAAGACACTCTGACTCCCAGAGTATTCTAGCCATCCAAAGTTACTTAGACCCTCCAGTACATATGAGGAAATTCTAATACTATAAGGACACTCTGCCTATGTAGTCCACTATATCCCTGCATAAAACACTGAGCATCCAAAATATACTGAACATCCAAGAAATTCTGTCCCTTAAGGATGCTCTGACCCTAGGAGGACATCCTATGAGTCAACTGTCTGAGTTCAAATTCTGGAACCACCACTTATTCGCCGTGTGACCATTAGCAAGTTATTTAATCACTTTAAGCTTCACCTTCTTCATTTGTAAAATGAATACTAGAACATTCCTCCTGTGTTCTGGGCAGGCAAGAACAACATGTGTCCGCTCCAGGTGGGGGCTTAGTCTCAGGATACAGGATAATAAATTGAACCTGTTTCAGGTGTGGGGCCAGAAGCCGGCCTAACTTAATGTTGAGAACTTCGAATTTGGAAT